GGATATTATATAAACAAAACCAAATATATTGAGTCTCAGTTCAGACAATCGAGTTCCAGTGCCAGTTTCATCACAGGTACCACATCTGTACTTCCCATGGCTATCGGTATCATATTAGGAGGTTTTATGATTAAATACCTTAGACCCCGGCCCCTCACACTTGTTATATACATGTTTTGTGTGGAGTGGTTTTATAATGGGGGTATGCTGTTTCTGTACTTCCCATGGCTATCGGTATCATATTAGGAGGTTTTATGATTAAATACCTTAGACCCCGGCCCCTCACACTTGTTATATACATGTTTTGTGTGGAGTGGTTTTATAATGGGGGTATGCTGTTCGGTATGCTAACTGGTTGTCCGCCATTAAACCTGCATTACACCACACGTACCTTTGATAATCAGTAAATTGATGAATGAACTGGCTTATTATTTATTGAAAACTAATTTATTTTTATAAACAGGTACACATTGACTGACAATTGCAACAGGGGTTGTGAATGCACTACTAGTGTGTTTACACCTATTTGTTCAATGGTAGACAAGTCCACCACATATTTCTCCCCGTGTTTTGGCGGTTGTCATAGATTAGACAGAATCACCGGGGTAAATATTTTGCTAAATAACCTCATACTTTTACTAAATTGGATGGTCAAGTGTGACTAATGTTTAATATGTTTGATAAACAGACAGTATCCGGGTGTTCATGTATCCATGGTGGACAGGCAAAAACCGGCTATTGCCAGAGCGATATAGACAATTGTAATAAGCTGACCCAGTATCTACTTGTAATGACAATGGCCGGCATTATATCCTCAACAGCCAGGACTGGTAACACGTTAATAACACTCAGGTATTCAATGTACAGCTCCAACAGTAAACCTAATTCAATGATTTCTACGGTATATTCATAGGGCTATTGATCCTAAAGACAAGAGTTTTGCGATGGGAGTGATCGGCACATTCCTGGCCCTATTTTGTACGTTATCCTGATCAATTTTAGTTCAATTATGTTTATAACTAAATTGTTTCATTTAAATGGTTTTTAGCGTTCATTCCGTATCCGTTGATATTCGGAGCGGTAGTCGACTCGACGTGTTTGGTATGGGAGGAGAAGTGTGGAAAGACAGGTAACTGTTGGATATATGACCAGGATAAGTTTAGATACTACTTGCATGGCACGGCACTGGCATTTATGTGTGTTGGCTCACTCATGGATTTGGGTATTATTTTTAATGCCAAACGTATTAAAAACTTTTACGACGACTCCACCGATGATAATGAGGAACAGGAGACTAAAAATGGTGACAATACTAATATCCCATTAAATACTGTCCCAGACCTTACTGGTGCTGATCCTGATCATTATAGTGGTTATTATATCAATAATGAGGGCAAAAAAGAAGCCCAAGTTTGAGTTTATTTTAGGTACTAGTTAAGTTATCTAATATTGAATAGTTAATCTGTTAACATAACAACATTTTATAACATTATTCATTATTTATACACAATGACTAAAACGAGACATAATTATAAAAATATATTTTACACAAATTGTGCACAAAACAACTAAAATATATAATATCATACTTATAGCTAGCCATAGAATTCAATGACAATTTGACATGTTATTTATTAATATAATTTATTTTTGTAATAATTTTTAATACATTGTAATTAAATAAAGATCATAGATATACAAAAAAAATCTATTTATTTCTATTAATTTAATTTAATTCAAGTAACCTCAACCTTAAAATATTCATTCCCTATTGAACTAATATTGGTATTTGTTAATGTCAATTAATAATACATTATCAATATGCACATCTATGTACTGTATAATTGTCAATTATACATAGATG